GGTGTATTCTCTCACTTGCTAAATTATATTGTGGAAAGAATTAGATGTATTCTCCCACTTGCTAAATTACTAAGATCCTTCTAGGGTGAGGTAATGCGCACTGCATGCTATTTGATTAATCTATCACCTTCAGCTCCTTTAGAGGGAAATTACCCAGTAAGAGTGTGGACTTGAAAAGATGCCTCATATGAACACTTAAAGGTGTTTGATTGCAAAGCATTCGTACAGGTACCAAAAGAGCAGAGGTCGAAACTTGATAAGTCAACATAATGTATCTTTTTGGGTTATGCAGACAAAGAATTTGGTTGTAGGTTATGGGATTCAGAAGATCAAAAATCGTGATGTCATTTGTTGTGAAGCTCACACAATTGAAGACTTTGAAAAATTTGAGAAAACAAAATTCTTTGTGGATGACCTTATAGACATTACTCCAATAGCTCCTCCAGTTACATGTGAAGATGGGAGAGATGCACAAGGAGATTATGAACAAGTGGCAAGTGATAATTTTCCTATACATGGTGATGTTGAGTAGGGGGAGCAGGCTGCCAAAGAACCACCAATTGTAACTCAATTACGAAAGTCAATCAGGGTAAGGCAACCATCAAAGAATTACTTTCCCATTTTGTATGACCTGCTCACTAATAATGGCAAGCCTAAAAGTTTCCAAGAAGCCAAGGTGCATGAACAAAAAGATAAGTGGCGTGAAGCTATGCAAGATGAAATCAACTCTTTGAAAAAGAATAACATATATGATATGGTTGAATTACCAAGGGGCTGGAAGGCATTGAAAAATAAGGGGGCCTTCATGCTGAAGAATGAAGGTGAGAAACATGTGAAATACAAAGGTTGTCTAGTTGTAAAAGGCTTTGCGTAAAAAAAAGGTATTCATTTTGAAGAAATATTTTCACCTGTTGTGAGAATGCCATCCATTCGTATGATTCTAGGTCTAACTATAAGTTTGGATTTCGAGATGGAACAATTAGATGTCAAAACTGCATGTCTTCATAACAACTTGAAAGAAGAGATTTACATGGAATAACCAGAAGGTTTGGAATATGGGGTAAAGAACACTTGGTTTGCAAATTGAAGAAAAGCTTGTAGGGATTGAAACAAGCCCCCAAGCATTGGTATAAGACGTTTGACTCATTTATGATGAGTCATGGGTATAAGAGTTATGTTGCATATCATTTTGTTTATTTTAGAAAACTCTCTGATTATAACTTTATTAATCTTTTGCGTTATATTGATGACATGCTAATTATTTGTTAAGATCTTCAAAAGATTGACAGGTTAAAGAAAGAACTAAGTAAGCTCTTTGACATGAAGAATATGGGGCTAGCAAAGTAGATTTTGGGCATGAAAATAGAAGGACACAAGAAAACAAAGAAGTTATACTTGTCACATGAAAAAATATATTGAACGGGTACTTGAAAAGTTTAATATAAATGATGTAAAACCAGTTCGCACGGTACTTGTAGGACACTTTAAGTTGAGTGCAAGACAAAGTCCTTCAAATGAGAAGGAAAAGAAAGAAATGGAAGATGTATCCTATGCTTCAACAGTAGGGAGTTTGACGTATGTTATGGGTGTGTACAACGCCAGACACCGCAGATGCAGTGGGCGTGGTGAGTAGATTTATTACCAAGCTTGGCAAAGAACATTGGACAATAGTAAAATGGATTATCATATATCTCAAGGGTACATCCAAATTATGTTTATGCTTTGAAAATGAAAAGCTTGTGCTTTATGGATATACAGGTGCAGACATGGATGGAGATTTCGATACCAACAAATCCACAGTAGGTTACTTGTTCAATTTTGTAGGGGAGCCATTTCATGGAAGTTAAAATTGTAGAAGTGTGTTGCTCTTTCTACAATAGAGACATAATATATAGCGGCTATAGAAGCAAGCAAGGAAATATTGTGGATGAAGAGGTTCTTAAAGAAACTGGGTTTGAAGTAAGATAGCTATGTGGTTAATTGTGATAATCAGAGCGCGATTGACCTTAGCAGGAGTACTATATATCATACCAAAATGAACCATATAGATGCTTGCAATCAGTGGATATGAGATGTCTCAGAGAATCAGTTGATGCAAAATAGAAAAAATCCAATCTATCATCCATCCAATAATGATGACTAAAGCCCTAACAAAGGATATGCATGAGCTTTATAGGGACTTGGCAGGCATGGGTGCAACTTGAACATAGATATAATGGGCACGAGATCCATTAAGCAGGGGAGCCCTCCACAAGGGTCTAGAGGGGGAGATTGTTACAGCCTTTTTCCAAAGTCCATAGACTTCTAGCCCCATGAGGTTGGGGCCTATTTTTTGGGGAAACGAAAATTAAAAGGGTATTTTTGAAAAAATAGAAATAATAATAATTAGGGTTTATCATAAAAAATGGCATTTTTTTTTTTAGATAGAGAGGGTAAACCAAAAAATTACAGAGAGAGGTTAAAATCCTTTGTTTCTCTCTCTTGGATTTTTTGATGTGCAGTAAAATTACAAAGGGTTTTTTGTCCAAAATCTCAAAAGGTTTGGAGCTTCTTAAATATTTGAAGCTTGTGTTCTCCAATGAATGTTGGAAAGAAATTATTCTTGTGAGGGGGAGGATGACAAAAAAAAATCTCACAAAAGCAACCCTGTAGTTTTCTTATTTTTTTTGTTCCTAATTCTCAAGTTACAGTTAGTTAACTTGAGAAGAACTATCGTAATTATTTTTCTGCATGGTAGATTTTACCTGTGCACCATGGTTTTTCCCTTCTTTGATGGGTTTTTCACATAAATCTTGGTGTTTGGCTTGTTTTTTAATTCTTGCAAATTTTATATTTTATTTCTTAGAGGTTTGGTATTTTTTCATTGATTCATACATAGATGGGAAAGCACTACTTTCCAACAGAATGGTGGCTCACCAAATATTACATCTTGAGTTCTATTTTTACCAAAAAAAAAACAAGCAAACAAACAAACAAGTAGCCAGATGTCAACTAATTACGTCCCAATTACCCTTTGATTCACTTAGGACACGATCTCCCAATAAATACTCGAGAACCGAATGCCTGTTATAATTAACCCATATGATTTCTATTTGGACCCATAATTTTCGATTTCCCATCCAAGCATGGAAGGAAATATGATGCAGGGGAAAAATAATTAAAATGAAAACGAAACAAAAGGTGAGAGAATATATCATCTCTCAAAGTCTGCAAGGGAATCCACCCGAACGAGAGAATATACCTTCTCTCAGGGTCTGCAAGGGAATCCATCCCCAATAATCTCTTCACAAGATCTCACTACATATTCTTTCTTTACATAACTTCCATGTCCAAGCAGGAACTCCCCATTTTAAATATAAAATTTAAGTAACTAGAGAACCCTAGAAAGCTCTTACGAAATCCTAGTCGTTCATTCCATTTAGTCATAATCATCCATTATTAACTTAAAAATAAATGACTAACTCTACCCCTAACAAAATAAGGAAGAACAAGTAAAATAAAAAGAACAATAATTACTAAACCCTAGTAACCTAAACTAAAATAATTCTTAAAAATCCCCAAAATATAATACTGATTAAAGTACATAAAAAAACCCGAATCAAATCATTCCATACATGCGTCAATCTCCTCTAGTTGGATAAAACTCGTCCTCGAGTTTTGAAGAAGGCTAAGATGAGATCTACATCAAATCCACATCCTTCTTTTGTTTTCTTCTCTTTGGGCTCTAAAAGTATGAATGGTTGTGAAAATAACTCCAAGAATGGATCAAAATATGAAGGAGGAGGAATTAATACAAATATCTTGAACTCAGCTATCATTTCATCATTTATGGGTTTGTGATCGACATTGTCCTCCTCAAAATCCAACGCCTAGCTTGAAATAGGATTTACTGCATAATTTTCATGTGGAGAAGAAGCTCGATCTCAGGAACATCGTTTTGTATTCTATGTTCCATCTCTTTTTCTAGTACTTGAATGGCGGGATCATTGAAATCTTCACTAACCAAGGCTGCTGGAAGTTGATTAGGAACAAGATGAAAGTAACCACCTTCATCATCATTGCCTTGATTTCTAATGCTAGTCTCCAGATTCCATTCACCCCGAAGTTGTGCAACCTCCTACGTGAGCTTTTCTACTCTATCAGATAAAGGCATGAATTTTTCTATTTTCTCCACTAGGGCTTGAACTTTTTTATACAACAACGACAACTTTAATTTTTTGAGGGATGCCTCCTTTGAAACCATCGGAATCCGCTCTGATACCAATTGATGCAAATTAGGGTTGATTCTTGACAAATCAACACCAAATTGATGCAAATTAGGGTTGATTCTTCAAAAATCCGCACCTTAATTCGTAGAGACGACTCTAGAGAAAGAAGGAAAAATCACAAAACCAAGAAATCTACCTCCCAAAGTTTATTCACCAAAAGTTCTCTGCAAAAAAATAACAATCTAACTCTCCATACCCTTCAACAGCAAATACTTAAATAAGTCATAACCCTAAACAGTTCCTGCGAAATGCTGGTCATCCATCATATTTAATCATAGTCACCTACTATTGACTTAAAATAAATGACTAAACTTGTCTCTAATGAAATTAATAAATAACAATTAAAATAAAAAATAAACCTGAATAATTCTCTTTAATACACCAATGCCCCTTTCTTTCTCTCTTAGGTCCTACGATCCTTCTTGGCCCAGCCATGAACTATTGGCCGGGGCATGGCTGCATCAAAATATCAAAATGCTAGAGTTTCCACCACTGTATGTGGGTGAAAATACATAGAAAAACATGTGTGCAAATAGCAATTTTCTTTAGTTAGTCTATCTTTGGTTTGTAGTGAACAATGAATAAATTTCTTGTATGCTACAAGATTAAATAATATGTTTTTGAGAATTGCATCTCCCATCAGGGGGCCATGGCCGGCTACTGCGTTGGTATTATAGTGTTGTACCTTGGTTTCTCCACCTCTCTCTTTTGACAACCGACCAGAGACAGAGACCCAAATCTCAACCTCAGAGAGAGAGAATTTTCCATGCCCGTATGTTTATTAAGTACGTGAATTAGGGAGCCAAATTAATGATTAATAAGGATAGATAGCGGGGGTGATTTGCTTGGCCAATTTTCTTCATGTTATCTCAAGCTCTTAGAAGAAAGGCCAAGAGATCTCCCAAAGGAGGAAGCATCGAAAATGGAGAGAGCAGCCGGTCACGCAATGACGACGGAGGACATGCTGGAGAAATTGCTTTTTGCGACGGCAGCTCGAACAGACTTACATACAGGGATCTCCTCCTATCCTCGGTCCAGGTTCTAGGAGAGGGTAATTTGGGCATGGTGCAGAAAGTTGTATGGATGGATGGTCTGACTCTGGCTGCCAAGAGGCTTCATCCTGTGGCCATTAGCAAAGGGGAATTCTCTAAGAGAGTAGAGAAGTTGGCCACACTGAAGAGTGAGTATTTGGTGCCAACAAGAGCGTACTTCTACTCCAAGAGAACCAAGCTAGTTTTGTACGACTACTATCCCATGGGAAGCCTTGCCGATTTACTACGAGGTATGGATTTCTCTAAGGGCATGTCTGGTTCGCATGAATATAATTTCTTAAAAATTATTTTATTATAGAATAACTAATTTGTCACATTTGGTTCGTAACAAGATTCAAAAATCATTTTGCCTCTTGAAATTAATTTTCATAAAAAGCGTTCAAAATCGAAGAAATTGGAATCATAACCACATAAGTATGATTCCAATTTTTTTCAAACATTTTGGGGCTGGGGATGTAAGTAGGGCTGATAGGGCTCAGCCCAAAAACTATAGCCCAAAAAGCCCGACCTGGTGTGAAAGGAATATATTCGACCTAGGCTTGGCTCGGACCATTAAGAAACCTTTTTTTTTGCTCTTTTTTCTTTATTTTTTATCTCACTCTTAAACATTTTTTTTTGTAGTAAGCAAAGAAACAAATATGCTAAAATAGTTTTTTGAAAAATTTAAAAAAATTGGGTTTTTAAATAGAGAGAAAGAGAGATTAGATTTTTAGAGAGAGAAAGAGAGATTGGATTTTTAGAGAAAGAAAGATAAATTGGATTTAGAGAGAGAGAAAAAGAGATTGGGGTTCCATAGAAAGAATGAGTTTTAAAGAGAGAAAGAGAGCTTAGATTTCTATAGAGAGAGAGAGAGCGCTTGGGTTTTTAGAGAAAAAGAGATATTGGGCTTTTAGAGATAGAAATATATATTGGGTTTCTAATGAGATAATGGTTTTTAGAGAAAGCAAGAGAGATTGCATTTCTAGAGAGAAAGAAAGGGTTTTTAGAGAGAGAATAGTTTTTTTTAGAAAGAAAACAATTTCATAGGAAATCTAGACAGTATTATTAAATGAGAGAAAAACAAAACATGTGAAATCTAAATCTAAGAAAAAAGAAAAACATGTGAAATCTAAATCTAAGAAAAAAAAAAAAAACATGTGAAATCTAAATCTAAGAAAAAAATTAAAACATGTGAAATCTAAATCTAAGAGAAAAAAAAAAAAACATGTGAAATCTAAATCTAAGAAACCTAGTTCCTAGGAAATTATTTTGCAACGAGAGAAACTATTTCATGCGAACTAAACATGCCCTAAAACTTCAGGTAACAAATACTCGTAAGAAATTTCACAATGAGCTAACATTTGTGGACCACAAAAAAAAATTCTAAATTCATTTTCACGGTAATTTAAGGAACGAAGAAGAATTTCACTACAGAAGAAAACAAAATGATTTCCTCGTATAATTTGTTTGCTTAATGATTCAATGACAATTTTGCTCATCTTTTTCTATGTTTTATAACTTGTACTCTACATAATCGGAAGAAACACAACACTGGTCACAGCATGTAATTTATTTTTTTTTTTTTTTTTTTTTTGAACAATGTTCCACCATCCAATCGTATCTAGCAACAGTGGTGATGACTCATTGTCCTACTGTTCAGTCCCATCAGATAATTGTCCTACTGTTGAGCCCCCTTGGGAAATTGCAGCTGACTTCTATCGATGGCTGAGGGCATAGAGATAAGGGAAAATACAGGATAAGACCATTTGATTTTAGCACAAAGAAGTTATAAATTCTCGGTCCTTGGATATTAAATTGGATGACATAGATTTTGACATTAACTTGGCTCAAATTTTAGAAAAATTTTTTTGGAGATTTTTGACATACCTCAATCCATTAAATTTGACACCTGATGGATAGGATTGATTGTGATCTTATACTTTAAGTAAATAGTCCCATAATATATATTCCCTAGAGATAGAAAAATTTTGGAGATTCTTGACATATCCCAATCCATTAAATTTGACATCTGATGATGGGTAGAATTGATTGTGATCTTATATTTTAAATAAATAGTCCCATAATATATAATCCCTAGAGATAGTGAATCCATTTTCATGCTTGTTAACATTATTATAAAATGGGTATGGCACAGGTCCTAAACAATCAAACTAAGGCCCACTTTCAATTAGTGTCAAAAGATGTTGTTTCAGCACTAAAAATCTTTATGATGACTTAAAATTTTATTTTCATCTCGAATTATGAAATTTTGAGCTTCAAAAAATAGTATATATAGCACATATCTATGGATACTTGGAAATCTTAAAAATTAATGTTCTAAGTAATGCATTATAACATGCACTATTTTCAAGACTTGAAGTCCATTTTTTTATGTCCATCTATCTCAAGGTCGAGATACTCATATTTGAGGGTTTTTCAATATCGAAACAGCTTCTTCTACTTAAATTTTTGAGGTGCGCCTTAATTTTATTGTTAGGGCCTCAAACTATATAAACTTTTTCCTTATAATGTAGCTGTGTAATTGCATTGTTCAATTGAGCATTCCATTTTCTTTCGCAAAAATGTAAAGTTATCAAGAATAATCAAATGAGACCTTGTCCTATTGAAAATGTGTAAGATTCAAATCTCTTTCGTTAGTGGCTCGTGTAGAGGGCGGAGATGATACATTGTATCATTATAAGTTTGACATTGTCATTCAAGCACAATCAGAGATTTCAATCGGTCTCCCACACCTGTATGGTAATTAAAATTGATAGGAAAAAAAAAAAGGAACTAAGCATGTTTGGTTGTCTTTCAGTGCACTAAAAAAGGACGTAAAATGTGGCAGATCTCCCATATTTTTGGAAAATACAAGAGCTTTGTCAAAACCATGGTAAGGCCATTTTCACAAATATTTATGTTTGGTTCCCATCATGAAAATACATTTGCGAAAGTACTTTTATCTAAAAAAATCTCCCCCTTATGATTAGTTAAAGGAGTTTTTTCATACCAATTAGTCCCAGCATATATTTTCACATAAATTGGTAGCCAATTGGCACGAAGAAACTCCCACAAGTAATGACACGAGGGTTCTTTCATGTGAAAATACTATCGTGTAAGTATTTTCGTGTGAACCAAACATGTTCAGATTATAGGTCGGATCCACAAAGGACTTTTCATATTGCAGATGGTTCTCAATTTTCATATCCTCGTGATATTTTTTTAATACCATCAAACCAATGGAAATACTTGTTAGCCAATGTGAAGATCTCTTCTTTACTTATGTTTTGTATGGAAAATTAAAATATTTACTTTGAGAACCCACTATAGGCAGTCAGGGTGGTGGGTGCTAGAATGTGACATCCAAAGTTATAATCACGAACTCCCAAGTTAACATTCAAGAAAAAGGATCCAATTATTTTTCTAAAAATAGTTGAAACCAGATTGTAGAATCTAGCATGGCATTAAGATTTTTTTTGTAATCACAATATAGAATAGTATAGAATGAGACCATTTATCTTTGATACAAGGTGGTCACATTAATTTTGACTGTTGGGTGTGAGATTAGGTGGCTCTAATTATTCCATTGACCACGCTCAAACTTCAAAAAAAAATTTATATCAAAGGTATCAAATTGTTTCATTGTATACAATACCTTACAATATTGCCTAATTATGAACAAAACCAAGACCTTGTTCATCTGACATGTATTTGCTAGTACAGGTGCGAAAGAACACGGGCACACTCCATTGGACTGGCAAGGACGGATCCGAATTGCAACGCAAGTTGCAAGGGCCATCTCATTTATTCACAGGCAGAACCCATCACCAGACAAAGATCTCCAAATGAATGTGCATGGCAGCATCAAATCCACTAACATATTCTTAAGGATCGATTTCTCTGCTTGCCTCTCGAATTACGGATACTTGCAGCTTGTGGAATCCATCCACGTTCCGCCGTCTCAAAAATGTGACGTCCATAGCTTTGGAGTGGTGCTCATGGAGTTATTGGGTGGCCTCGGTGCTGTCTCAAAGGTCAATTTGGTGATGGAAAGAAGGGATGAAATAAAGACCAGAGAAGTCAAGTTTTTTGACTTTGCTGGTGGAGAGAGGGAGATAGAGCAAGCCTGCGAGGTGTTAAGAATGGCTTTGGAATGTTTGGCAAGATCACCCGAGGAAAGGCCTTCCATGGAACAAATTTTGCTCGTGTTGGAAGCCATGGCTTTTAAGTGTGCACCCATTGATTGTACAAATTCACATTGAAACTGTAGACTTCTATCCCAATCTATTTGTATTTGAATACTATCGTTATCATTATCCAAATGTTATCTCAGCTATTTTGGGTCGGCTATATGAATCTTGTTTTTGCATTATGCATTATTAAAAATAGAGCTTAGTGAAATATTTATACCCTTTCTATACCGTTTAGATACAAGGTGGTCGGAATCTTCCTTCAAGTGCCTCTTTTTTATTGAATTTATTAAGAATTCCATGGCTACAAAGAAAGGCGGGTCTCATTTTCTAAGTCCTTTTTTAATGGGCAAAGTATCCAAACGAGGAACCATTAAGAACCACTGCACACCAAGGGGTGGTGATGCCCATTTAAACCCAATTTATATATTTTTCCCCAAATCAAATTTGTTGGAGTTCATTTGTTAAACATTCCTAGTTAATCCTATCAATGGCCTTATGAATGGCAATTTTTAATAAAAAGCTGTTCTTTTTATTGCATGAGAATTATCAAAATGCACCTACGTAATTAACTATTTACATTTTAACCCTTTTTTTATTTAACTTCAGAAAAGCTCAACAAAATATGCATGATGATGAGATGAAATGCCTAAAAGGAGTAAATTGTTAAATAATTGAAAAGCTTTGGATAGGAGGAAATTAAGAATCTTGGATATTTGAAATCCAATAAAATCAATGGATTTTCAAAATCAATGATTTTTGTCATCAAATTTGGATAAACTACAAAACTCAAGGATTCCGGTTTCTAAGTCCATTGTTTGGTAATAAAATTTGAAACAATTTCTCTTTATAAAACCTTAATTTTGAGATAGTTTATCTCTCTAAAACTCAAAATTTGGATAGCCTCTCTCTAAAAATTTTGAGATAGTTTCTCTCTCTAAAATTTGATATGGTTTCTCTATAAAATTTTAATACGCTTTCTCTCCAAAACATGAAATTTAAAATTGTTTCTCCAAATATTTTGAGTCATTTTCTCACTCTAAAATTTTCGGGTTTTTTCTTACTCAAAAAAATCTAATGATTTCTCTCTCTAAATTCTAATGAAGTTTCTCTCACTAAAATTCTAAGAATTTCTATCTAAAAATTAAATTTTGAGATAGTTTTCCTTTCTAATAATTTTGAGATAGTTTCTCTCTCTAAAAATGTTTAAGTAGTTTCTCTTTGAAATATAATATATTCTTTCTATCTAAAATTTTAAATGCTTTCTCTTTTTAAGACTTATTGAGATAATTTGTCTCTAAAAATTTTGAGATAGTTTCTCTCTCTAGAAATTTTTAGGTTTTGTCTCTCTCGAAATTTTGATCCATTTTTAAGATTCTTTGTCGCTCTAAAACTTAAAATTAGAGGTAGTTTCTCTCTCCAAAAAATTTGAGATAGTTTCTATCTAAAAATTTCAGGTGCTTTCTCTAAAATTTAATATAGTTTCTCTATCTAAAATTTTAAGATACTTTCTCTCTCTAAAACATAAAATTTGTGATAGTTTCTCTCTCTAAATATTTTGAGATAGTTTCTCTCTCTAAAAAATTTTAGTAGGTAAAATTTGTTATGATTTCTATCTCTAAAATTTTAATATACTTTCTCTATCTAAAACTTAAAATTTGAAATAGTTTTTCTTTATGAAAACTTTAAGATATTAATCTCTTTAAAAGTTTTAGGTAGTTTCTCTCTAAAATTTGATATAGTTTCTATCTTTAAAATTTTAGTACACTTTCTCTCTCTAAAAAGTTTGAGATAATTTCTATCTCTAAAAATTTTTAGGTAGTTTCTCTTTAAAATTTGATATAAATCGTATCTTTAAACTTTTAATATATTTTCTCTCTCTAAAACTTAAAATTTGATGATAGTTTATCTCTCTAAAACTCTCTCTAAAATTTGATATAGTTTCTCTCTCTAAAATTTTAAGATGCTCTCTCTCTCAAACTTTAAATTTTAGATAATTTCTCTCTAAACATTTTCAAGTACTTTCTCTTTTTAAAATTTGATATAGTTTTTCTCTCTAAAACTTAAAATTTGAGATGGTTTCTCTCTCTAAATATTTAGAGATAATTTACCTATAAAAAAAATTTATGTACTTTCTCTTTCTAAAATTTCATATAGTTTCTCTCTAAAATTTTAATATAATTTCTCTCTCTAAAAGATAAAATTTGAGATTATTTCTCTCTAAATTTTTTGAGAAAATTTCTTTCTTTAACAATTTTTAGGTACTTTCTCTCTCTAAAATTTTCATACCAAATATGTCCTATGTTTCCGGTCGAGGGGACCAACTAGTGGAATCCATGAAGAGGGGAAATTCAAAAAAATAGGTTTTGGTGTGGAAACAAAATCGTAGAAAAGTTAGGTGATTTCCAAGATTTTTAGTTATTGAGCAAACCAAACGTTAGATTTCAGTAATATCCAAGATGTTAAAAGTCCATATGCCCAAACTAGGTGTATTTTGATATATTTCCCCTTTTATTAGCCATAATATGGTTGAGGGTGAGGGTGATTAAGACTTGTGTAAAGATACTTCGGTTATAAAGGAAAGCATATTGATTGGGGCTAAATGATCTGATTGAGTACAACCAAGTTAAGTATACTAACCATGATAGTATTCCGAAGGCTAATACATTGAATCGGCGACGGAGGTAATACGATTTTATGGGGAACTTGGGTAAGGAAGGTTGAATTGCGAAATTACATTTTCTTGAAGGTATCTTTTATGGCAATTTTTGGTCCAGTTTGCACCAAAACTTTTGGAAGATTTTTTTTTTTTGACAGTAACATATAAACTTTATTAATCAAAGGAAAGAGAACATTACATCAGAAAAATAACCAATAATCAGGGGAGAAGACAACCAATATCAACTTTATTAATCAAAGGAAAGAGAACATTACATCAGAAAAATAACCAATAATCAGGGGAGAAGACAACCAATAGCAACTTTATTAATCAAAGGAAAGAGAACATTACATCAGAAAAATAACCAATAATCAGGGGAGAAGACAACCAATAGCAACAATACAAGACTCCAAAGACGCAGCCCTCTTGGCCAAATCATTAGCATATCCATGGACGTTATAAAGAACGTTCCATCCCAACACAAATATCCAAAACTTGAGCCCAAATCGACAGTAACTTCTAAGTAGCCTACTTTGCTTGTTACACCGATTTATTACATCCAAAAAAATCACCTTCAATGACACAACAGAACCCATCAAACTTTTCCCTCACCAATTTCAAACCTTGCAAAAGAGCTCGAAATTCTAACTCATTTGCAGCTGTAAAACCACAAGGTCCAGCTTAAGAAAGCAGTCTTCCCATTAGAATTCCTAATTACCCACGAATGCCAGCTGCTCCAGGATTTCCAAATGAACATCCATCAAAATTAAGTTTGATGCATCCTCCAAAGGCAGATGCTATGTTCCCTTTGGTTTATTGCGAACTGCTGAACCATTTATAATGGAAGTTAAGAATAACATCCAACTTGGGGCACCCATTCCCTTGCTTGTGAAGTATGTTTTCTTCACCAGATTTTAGAAAATCATTATGGGTTTTAGATGAGAGAGATATGGGTTGCACAACACCAAAAAGGTTATTGAAAAACATTGCTTCTTGGACAATAACCTCTTTGATGTTAGAAGTTAAGCTTAGATATGGTGCCATCTTGTGCTCTAAGATTAGATATTCACAGCTTACAAAAAAAAGCTTTAAAAAAACAAACATATTCTTCTTCAACTCTACCAAATTTAATAAATCCCTATCAGACATCTAGGCTTGACACTATTGCAAGAGAATTCACCCAAACATTTGCCAACCTGGACAAACCATTTTATTTTCAAACTTGGGTTCAAACCTAGAAACCTTATCTTACACTGGAAGACTTGCACTTATCAATTCATATATCACCACTTACACTTATCAATTCATCTCTCACCATACTCAAAAGTCATTGGTGCTCAACTTTCACAAAAGAATTTTCTTTGCAACAGTTAACAAAATAAAATCTATTCAAATCTTATTAAATGGAATACCAATTGCAAACCTAGAAGCAAAGGTGAACTTACTATCAAAAGGACATCAATCATCCTTTGTAGGTAAGCTTGGATGGGAATTGGCAAATAAAAATCACTCAATGTGGTGGGATTTGATAAAGAAGAAATACCTTGGAAAACATCATATAAGGATCTCTATAGCAAACAGTAGGGACTCTTGGGCTTGGAAAGGCACATAGGAAACCCTCTCATTTATAATGAGATATAGTCATTGGCCTTAGATGATCATGAACTCAAGTTGTGTTCTCAATAATAATGGTGACTTCACCTCCAATATTGCTTTCAAAATAATAGGAGAACAAGGGGCCCAAAGCAATAACATAAGGTCACATGAAAAACCAAAAAAAAAAAACTGATCGACCTTAGGGCCTCATGGTTCTTGTGGGTAGCCTGTGT